ACAGCATCAAGGAGCTTTTGATGGTAGTTAACATACTGTAGATGGTATACAGTCCAAAGGTTGAAAAATTACCTTTTGTTTGGCTGCCTTTGGTCCAGTGTTAAAGATTGTTATTTTCAGTCAGCCTACCAGCCTAAGAATGTTAATACTTTGAAACTTGACGAATGTGGTTTGCTCCCCTTTCCACCAAAAGTATATTTTTGGCATGCGGGCTGAAATGTTCGATCTCATATCCAGAGTAAGGTGAAGGTGAAACGTGACTGAGCTGCTGATGGAATATAAGTCTGGACCTAAACTAACCGAGATATTAAGCACTGACTCAGTTCACTGTTGAAGAAAATAACATATTTCCATTCAATTTCACAGCTTTCATGGCAGAATTAGAGGTCTAAAGGCATCATTTGTAAATTGATCTGAACAAAAACCCAGATGATAATTCTCAGCTGGTCTGTGCTGTTTACATCCATTTGTGGTGGATTAGTAGGGCAGTCTCTAGAACTGCATTACTAGCAGGCCATACAGGTGTAAGAACCACTATAGGAGGTCAACGTAATTTTTGAAACCCTATAAATAAGCATTTGTTCCCTTAAAATGGCTTAAATGCAGCATGACAGCCTAACCCCACTCACTCACAAGCTCTGATGCTACATGGAGAGAGACACTGCACCATTTCACACTGCTAAAGTGTGTGTTTTGTTAATCAGGAGAGGAAAGCTGTAATTTGTATGACGGGAAGTCTGGAACAAAGAGGAGGTGCTGTTCTGGTGAGACAGAGGAGAGAAAAAGGCATAAAAATATCTACACTGCCTAAGAGCACGCTGGAAAAGTGGTGGCAGATGAAACGAAACAAAATTTCACTAATGAAAATCATCCAGCAATAAAACACTTACAGTAATGTAACGAGTTGTTATTGACGGATGTTATCTTTAGATGTGTCTCCTCTGTGTCTCTGAAACAGTGCGGTCATAAATAATAAGAAACATCAGAGTGCACAGAGACCTTCTGACTACACTATCAAAAGTCTACAAATGTTAAATGAACTCCTAATAGGACCACTGACAGCTTGGCCGCAGCCTGCAAGTTGATGTGACTGCCGTAGTTTGACTGTAGTTAATGAAAGTGTTGTGTTGGTATGAACAGAAGGAGCTGTGCAACATGATCCTGGACTGCTGCGCTCAGCAGAGGACCTACGAGAAGTTTTTTGGCCTGCTGGCTGGGGTGAGACACACACACACACACACACACACACACACACACACACACACACACACACACACACACACACTCTTCATCTGCACAATCGTGCGAACAGTGGTGCTTTAGGGAAACCTGCTTCAAAGAGTCGGTGTTTTCCATCTTCCCTTCATAGATATTTGTTAGGTATTTCTATTCTCTGCACGATGAATGTCACCATTTCACTGAGGTGCATATAAATCTTGTTGTGCACTTTTTAAAAGAAAAGAACAACTAAAAGGAAGTGCTCAAGCTTTTTATGTTTATTGGCCATGTGTCATGTTTACCTCAGATCTTTTTTGTTATTGTTATCTTAAGTTTCACTGTAATTAATTTAACTAAAGAGAGCATTCAACCTGATTTTGATGCGAAGCACTGCTTCTATCTGTTAACTGTGTGTGTGTGTGTGTGTGTGTGTGTGTGTGTGTGTGTGTGTGTGTGTAGAGGTTCTGTCTCTTGAAGAAGGAGTACATGGAGAGTTTCGAGGCGATATTTTCGGAGCAGTATGACACGATTCACCGACTGGAGACCAACAAACTGAGGAACGTGGCGCGACTGTTCGCTCACCTGCTCTACACAGATTCTGTGCCGTGGAGTGTAAGGACACAAAGAAAGATCCTCCCCAGCGTGACCATGAAACTCATTCCACTCTGGTTAGACCGTCTCTCTGTCTTTTGAATGTGTCTCACACAGGTGTTGGAGTGCATCAAGATGAGCGAGGACACCACAACGTCGTCCAGCAGGATCTTTGTAAAGATCCTATTCCAAGAGCTCTGTGCCTACATGGGTCTGCCAAAACTTAACCAGAGGCTGAAAGACCAGTACGAAAACCCACACTCCCACCACAGCCACGCACAACACTCAAACTGTACTTTACTAAAGCTGCTGCAGAGGCAGCCAAAGTTTTTACTCAGAAAACATTTAAATGTTAATGATATAGTCGAGTGAGGTAATAAATCAAATTTAAGGAAACGTAATTAGAAAAATGCGACTTCTTGCTCTTATTTGGCTACTGTTGCTCCTAGTGATAATTAAAGAGCCCGTAAATGAAGTAGGACGTAACAATAAATCATGACCTCTGCGTGTGTTACAGGACCCTGCAGCCGTTCTTTGAAGGTCTCTTTCCTCGTGATAATCCCAGAAACACTCGCTTCGCCATCAACTTCTTCACTTCTATTGGACTGGGAGGACTCACGTAAGGGCCACACTTCAAGAAACAGCATAAACACAGAAACATGGCTGTCACACAAACAGAATCAGAAAACTTTTAGCTTAACTGTGTTAGGTTTGGAATAAACTGCACTGTAAAGTGCTTTCCTAATATATGCAATAAATAATGGTTGTTTATTCTGTTAAATTCTGCTGGCCTCAAAGTGTGGGACGCTCGCTGCATCTAAAATGTCATTGGATGATGAATGTAGCAGTTTACGTTCACACAGAAACACTGAACTCTCACATTTCTCCCACATCGTTTTCTCTCCTAGTGATGAGCTGAGGGAACATTTGAAAAACGCGCCAAAGATGATCATGACTCAGAACCAGGAAGTCGAGTCATCGGACTCCTCGACATCGTCCTCGTCGTCTTCTTCGTCAGATTCCTCCTCCTCCGACTCATCCAGCGAGTCAGATTCAGACTCGTCAGACTCCTCGAGCAGCTCGGGTACGCCTGACTGAAACCTAAAGATTTACTTTCAGAAAATCACATTATTTCACTTTTATACGCTGGCACATTGTGTTATTATCAGTTTGTTGTTCTAGCTCACAGCAGTGCTGCAGTAGTTGGGAGGTTTAATATTGTAACATTAATATAATATTCCTGTTATAAAACAACGTAGTCAGGAGTGTCTCCTTCTGTTTTATTAAACCCATGTTTGTGTTCCGTTGAATGTCTGAATTTTTACAGTTTTTCATTTATGTGAGCTGCTGCTTCAGAAAAGACAACGTGTGATTTGTTTGTTTTCTTTCTTTCTACTTTTTGTCCTCCAGACTCGGACTCTAAACACAGGAAGCAGAAGAAGAGGAAAGGACAAAGTGATGAGGGGAGGAAGAAAACGAGAGAGAAGGACAAGAAGAAGAAATCTTCAGACAAGAAGCGAGCTGGACGCGGAGCAGACAAAGATGAGGACAGCGACAGCGTGAAGCGGGCGAAGAAAGACGACAGGGGGCGCGCACATGACCCGGAGGGGCGTGAACGCGACGGCGCCCGGCGGAGCAGACGAGACGACAGATCGGAAGAGGAGGA